AATTGAAATAGGATAATTCTGGTGTTATGTACACAGCTGATGTCATAGTGCAATAAAATGATATACATAGAAAAAAAGTGATTTATTGTTATAGTATATTAAGATGTCTTACTAAACTATGAAGTAAAATGGTTCTTGGTGATTTTAAAATAAATGGAAATCATAATATTGACTAAATTATTTGAAATTAATATAGAAAACTTAAAGATTCATCACAAAGAAATGTATACAGGTGACAATATGACTGGTCTGTAATATTATAGAAAACTGTATTAGCTCCAACTCTGGAATTGTTTTAAACAATTCATTAGACCATCTTTCCATTTGAATATGACATAACATGTCCGAGTCATGATGTGGTATATCTCTGTATAATTCTCTAGTACCTACTAGTTAAATAAAGAATTTAATAAGAACCCTCATTGGTACTACTAATAATTTTTCTAGAGATTTGTAGACTTTTTCCCCAAAAAACTGATTATTTATAAAAAGTAAAGATTTTGTTTTCCTTCTGAAAATAATTGTTTAAAACTTTTTGCTTGAGCAAACAAGCTAGCTTAATTGCGAGGAATGAAAAACCTATGTATAACATTCTAAACTTTTTCACTGAACTAATCCAAATAATGCACCAAATGGTGTGAAAGAGTAGGGAGATTATTCATAGCTGTGTAATAAACTGATATATGCCATAATTGTTACAAGTGTAGACTCAAAAGTTTGAGTTATCTGCTAGCTGCATGACCTTGGGCAAGTCACTTAACCACATGAAACTTTGTTTTCCTCATTTGTAAAATGGAGATAATAACCTTGTTTTAAGAATTAGATTATGAGAGATGATTAAAGTGAAGTGCTCATCAGCACGGTGCCTTACACAAGATAATTGCTCCCCTCCCCCCAGTCATCCTAGTAGCAGCATTGGAGCAAGAGCAGCAGGAGCAAACACAGAATTGCTATAGTCATTAATGTATTAAATTATATTCAATTTGATTCTCTCCAGAAATTTTACTGAAATAAATACTCAAGTCTACAGTAAAAGATCATTACTATTTCATGGTATATGCATCTCAACAGTGTTTAAATACGCATTGGAAATACAAAGACTTCGTAATAACATGATGTTACGAAGCTTACATTCCTAGTACTCCAAAGAACACAAATTTACTAATTACAATGCAAGTGACTCTTTCAAAAATACTAAAGTACATGAATAAGCAATGCACTATGGGAGTAAACTTCTGAACTACAGCTCTACCCATTCCCTTTATAGAAGTATCTGGCTACTTTTTCAATGATTTTTATGCCTTTTAGGTTTCCCAGTTCTCTTTATCTCCCTGAATAGAATCCAAGCAAAGAGCTTGCTTAATCTTGTGACACTATAGTATTCTAGAATCAACTTTTCCCCAAAACTATTTTAGATAAGCAACTCTTTTGAGAACCTTGAAGTCTGTCTCCTTGTCTGAGATTTGTGGGAAACAGAATGGTGAATCGAGGTCATAAACTAAAGAACTGAACCCAAGATGCTCAAAAGCATGGTTCACTCTGTCATTGAACTTTAAAATGTAGAAGCCAGTTCTTATTTATTCTGTAACAATTTACCACACAAAGAGTACAGATATCAACACCTCTCTTCGGTCAGGAGAAACAAATGAAATATCTATTTCATGTTCCCAAAGGTCCTTTCAAAAGTGACTTCATAGAGATTTAGAAAAAAGAAATTCATTCTTAAATGCTGAATTATGCATTCAATTTACTACCCATTAGGTTGTGGAAGCGAGTAATTAATAGCTTAACCATTATTTATCACCAAAATTCTACCGAATTTTATCTAATGGAAATTCATCACATCTGCACCGAAGATACATCAAAGAGTTCTGGGCTAGGAATCGAGAAAACTAGGCTCTCCTTCCAACTCAGCTACTAACTAGCTATGTGACCAAGCACATATCACTTCAGTTCTTTGTCTCTAACAGTGTTTCATAGTATCAACACTCAAATCTCATGCTCTAATCACACCTATGATTCCATCAAAGGCATCATAAGCTATTACAGGTTGACATAGACTCAAGAAAAATCTCAGGCACACTCTAGTGTCTCCTCCTCACTCCATACCTTCCCATCCTACTTTCCCCCAAGACAAACCAAATGCATGGCAAATCTGAGAAGTAACTTAACATTTATAGTCAAACTAAAAAGAAAAAAGGCTAGCTTATCTTATAAAATGTATTATGTATATTTTATATTTATGGCCATTATAGAACTGCATGTTGATATTTTTATAAGGATACAAATTTTACAGAACCCAAAACAGAAATGATGTTCGTACCCTTTCCTACCAATCTGTGTGGCAATAAGATGGGGCTGCAGTAATGAATATCTCAATGTACACGAGAAAAAACAGCTATGCCATTTCAGACAGTCTATTGCCAGGTCATTACCGCTGTTTAATGCAGAGAGCTGAGAGAGAAGTAAAAGATGGATAGTTCATGGCCACTGCAGTATTTCAATCACAACATCAAGTTCTTCCCTCCCTCAGCAGATAGACTAATACTTAACCATGCCAACAAGATACAGAAGACAAAGAAGGGAGAAATTTCAGCAACACAAATTTACACTCCTTTCTTACCTAGATTTTCAGCATACATAATACATTAGTGATTAAGGTTCTTTAAAATCTACCTTTAGAATAACTCCCCTAATGCTTCCTAATGAAATATTCAATCCCACATGGCAAAACATACAAATATTTTTAGAAGATTGAAGGAAAAGGAATGTAAAATAGTCTTCTAGCGAAGGACAATTTAACGACACCCTTTCTCTAAACTTCTTTCCCACCTATTCTGCCATCCTTAATAGAGTGGGTAGAAAACCACCTCTGGAAATGTTAAACAGCAAAGTATAAATAACTCCTCTATTTTGGAAATGCCACGGAGATACAAACCAACACATGACTCTGTAAATACCCAGGGAAAAACCATCATTAGCAATGTCAGTCTTTGTGAATATAAAGTAGTCCTGGTACTATGCACAAGAATCTTCAGCTGCAAGACATGCCTTGCATTTAAACCATCTAGGTATATAGCTAGGAGATGAAAATCTCACCCAGACAGGAAGATAAACAAGGGCCATAAGTAAACAAATGTTGTCAGTATGTGAGTGAGTGCACTCTGATGATCTTTCTGGTGAATACAATTACACAGCAACGCTACATTTATTTAGGGCTCGCAGAAGTTAGAGTTCTATCTAAATATGTATAACTAAACATACCTCTATTCTAGCTGAAATTCACAAATGACGGAAGCCATAAAACACTTTCCAACTTATAGTAAAATAAAGCTTTTCAGTAGTTCTTAATATTAATAGTTTATACACACTAAGGTTTAGTGCTCTGTTTTCTGCTCTTTTCTCACAATAAGCTGGCCTTCAGAAATTCTATCTATTATGATAGGATTCAACTATCCTTTTATGAAGATCTGTCACAATTCTATATTCCCCACCTGCTCCTGATTTTCTGATCTAGAACTCCAAATTCCTTTTATCCTGATCCTAACATTTTACATTCTACAAACTTGAAACCTAACCCTAAATTTTCTCAAATCTGAACTCACTCGTATCAATAGCAAGTCACTCTCCAAAAATGAAAACTAAGAATACTCCATCTCCACCCTGGCCTTGTCCTCCCCTCTCATCAGTCACTAAGCCCTACTGATTCTTCCTCCATAACGTCTTTTGCATGTATCCCATCCCAATTAGTTTCACC